ATATATTGAAAATCTAGAAGCATTAGTCACCCCATTGAAATATATCGCATATAGAGACACATTATAGGCAATTTAATATTTTTTACTTGGTTCATTGACCAACGGTGCATGTGTAGCTATATTAGCCTTTTAAAATATTCATATTTATACTGTTTAAATGCAAAAGGCATCTGTTATTTTCTAGAAAGAGCCTATTGATATCACACAAATTGCACCTCAAAAACAATGAAATTAAAGTCACATTTTAGCTTCTTTAAAAAAACATAATTGAGTCTACATATTATTATTGGTCACAAGGTATATCACATTTTCATTGCGTCTAAGTAAATTGCTCTATTTGAGGATTTGTTTTAATTATCTGCAGTTTTGGCACTCCGTCAATGATAATGTGCGTATTGGGTTTGTCATGGTTCGTCTTTGGAATGCGCCTGTCTTTATTGGTGTTTTGCTTAGTCGTGGCGTTGATTTGTGTCCCTACCCATGGACATCAAAATATACCTGCAGTTAATTTTCAGAATGTGCTTGCATCTGGTAATCAACAACAGAATAATGTTCCACCCCAGCAGATGGTCCGACATCCTGACGGAGCACCCGCGCAAGGGGTCCTTCCTTCGTCGAACAATGATGCACCTGCTCAGCAGCCGTTGCACAACCCTCCCATATCACAGCAGCAAGCTCCACCGCCTCAGCCTCCCATGGCAAACCAACGAGTGCCGCCTCATCAACCCCCTCAAATGCACCCTGGAATGAATCAGCAAGCACCACCGCTTCAACCTCCAATGGCAAACCAACAAGTGCCGCCTCAACAACCTCCTCAAATGCACCCTGGAATGAATCAACAGGCACCACCGCCCCAACCTCCAATGGCAAACCAACTAATGCCGCCTCAACAACCTCCTCAAATGCACCCTGGAATGAATCAACAAGCACCGCCGCCTCAACCTCCAATCGCAAACCAACAAGTGCCGCCTCAACAACCTCCTCAAATGCACCCTGGAATGAATCAACAGGCACCGCCGCCTCAACCTCCAATGGCAAACCAACAAGTGCCGCCTCAACAACCTCCTCAAATGCACCCTGGAGTGAATCAACAAGCACCACCACCTCAACCTCCAATGGCAAACCAACAAGTGCCGCCTCAACAACCTCCTCAAATGCACCCTGGAATGAATCAACAAGCACGGCCACAAGAAATGCTTCCCAATCAACCACCAGTGGTGAAACAGCCTCCACCGCATTTGCATCAGCCGCCTCCTCCAAGCCATCAAATTCATTCTCCTGATTCCTTACCTCCAAAGCCTAGACAAATGCAGTTTCAACCGCCAGCGGTGGTGCACAACGATGCAGAACTTGATTTCTACTCACGCCTGCCCTCCCCAAAGGTATTTGAATCCGACTCTGGTGGTATCCTTGACAATCCTAGACACTTTATCGCTCTCACTGTAAATGTGACACCCGCTGCAAAAGACTGTTACTTTTACGAAGCGGTAGCAGGCTTCGACGTCGACTTTCAGGTATTAGGCGGTGATGGCATGGATATTGGTCTTGCCGTTTTTGATCCGTCAGGTGTTTCTGTCGCTTTACGAGATCCAGTAAGCGAAGCAAATATACCGTAAGAAATATTTTCTACCTAATGTACTCAAATCTAGAATCACAGTTCAGCCATATTTCCAAGGAAGCGCTTACGCTATCTGCCTTGACAATCGGAAAGCTAGCTATGGACGCAAAAAAGTTTTCCTTGCCATTGATTTGCGTCTCAATTGGAATAATCCCAGTCCGGCTGAGCAGGAATTAATCAATAAAATCAATGCTGGGCTGAGCGGCGAACATGACAATGAAGAGCTCCTTAAGACCTTCGAGAACTTCGAACGGCTAACAGTAAGTACCAGAGTCTGTTTTGGTCAATACCCTTTGCTGCACCCATTTTGTAATGGAATCACACGGCAAAATGTGGAGTGTTGACACTTTCCATCCCACTTTATAACTTAAAACGGGTCTTGTGTAAATCCCTGTGGTGATTTTTCTCTCTGGCTCTTGTTAACTCTCGCAAATTGATAATTGCCATTTACCCGGGTATTAATTTACGAGTGACTGACATTATTAATGCCTTACTATTCTAGTCCATTCTTCCATGTCTGAGTTCATCTGCCTAAGATTTGCACCAAGGTACTAGCTGCAATTTCATCGATTGAATTAAATTAGCAAAATTTTGGGTCAGTCGTTGTCAATTCCTCCAATAACTCGTTTTCACTTGCTAATGCAAACTGCCCGTACTTGTTTTGGTGTTGTACTCTTACTCACGGTGGGTGCATCTTCCAGTTCCCAAAATAGAGGGACAAATAAACAACTTTAACATTGTTCTTGTGGACTACTCTTCAGAGTTACTAAGTGACCCAATTGCTTTATGTATTTCCAATTCAAACTGTTCGAATTTTTGTCAGCTTTATTGATTCTGGCAAACAAATCCGTTATTGATGTCTTCAATTAAACTTACGTCAACTGAATTGGTTTTAATCAGCGACAAGTGATGCGTCACAATCCTGAAAAAACCGCGGCTGCCTTGCCTCATGCCATCAGCAAGGAATGATTTACTGCGCTCCGGGTCCAGCACCATCCGTGCGCCAAAAATCAATCTTTCATGGGAGTCCAATAGAGACTGATTGGATTTTTCGCGGTTCGTCGGTGCCGTTTAGCAACCTTTCAAGTCGAAACATGGTTGGGGTGTTTAATGAGCCCGACCAGAGGAGAGGGTCCTGTCGGGCGTTTTTTTGTATCAATTTACAGTATCTCTAGTTACCACGTCTCGTCCACTCCTCTCGACGTTCAGCTTACGTAGAAACCAAATGCGACGGAATGTTTCGCTGCCTTATTCAATGCCTTAGCACTTAGCTCTAAGCGCTGTTTTGCGTGTTGTAAATTCGCAAATACCGTTCTTCTCGTTCGTGCTTTCTTCCTTTCCAAGACTTCTTTGGATCGAATCAGCACTCTGTTACACCGAACCCAGCGTCTACAACAGCGTTCGCGCAACAACGCCGCCATGGATCGAGCTATGATGGAGGCCAACCAAAGTCGCGTCACCACGTGGTCCACTTTCCAGGTGGTGCTGCTCCTCCTAGTTGGTGTGGTCCAGACTCTACTCATTCGCAGTCTCTTTGACGAGAAGAGCAGTCTCTACCGACTGTGGGTGCATGGAGGGAGAGGCCACTCCTTTGCCTCCACCTCAACGTCGTCCTTCACCTCGTTTGCTGGGCAACGCTATTAGGCTTCAGTCGGTGCCGTTATCTTAATGGTCTGGCAATTATGACGATTATTTATATCCACCTATTCTCTCCTTGCTTTTCGCTTCTTCCCGGTTTCTTTTCTTGTCTTTGTCAACGTCTCCGTGTTAATATTCTACTTGTGCTTGTCTGTGTGCTATCTTTGTATGAAAATGCATTTTGTTAACTCGACGTGTTCTGGTTTGTTTGTTTGCTTGCTTGCTTTGTATGTTTGTTTGAAATTGATACTTTGCGAAAGTGGATGGCAGCGCCTAAGCCCACTGCCTCCAAGAGGCTTATTTACTAGTAAAACTGTGTTGGGTAATTAAACTTAATTGTTTTATTTTGTAGCTCACTAGGACTGATGTGTTGATATAACTAGTTACATATTGAAGTTACCCATAAATGATGCATGCGATCAGTTGATTTCAGGTGGACTCTGTCGCGAGTCAGTGTTTCTGACTGTGTGTTCAACATGCCCACAGTCAATGCATGCGCGTTTTGCCACATAATGCGGCATGTTGTTTTGGTGCTTGAGCTGTTCAAAACGTGATCGGCACGCGGTTCAACACCAGTTGGGACTTTCGTCTATCATCACCCAAATGAAGCAAATTGTCGTCACTGTTGTCATAGTTCAGCTCCGCTTATGGAGATTAATTGCGTAGAAGCGACTAAGTATCAAGTATGGCATAAATACGGGGCGCATCACTAACCCCGAACGAAGGCTGGATTCCCCATTCACTTTAATGAGGCTATTGTTCTGTAGGCGTGCTTTGTACACGGTGTGTAGTTGATACCACGAGTTGCACAGATGCGAACTTGGCTACCCAGTTCCACTTGTCCTTTGATCATCTCGTTATGAATGCATCCATAATGTCGGGGCACTCAGTTTCCGTTGTAATCTTTTCTTAGCGAAATCGCCATGGCAACAGAAACCACAACACAACAAGTAACCGACCTGAGTGATCCGGCCGAGAAGGCTGCGTGGCAGACAGCCAACCAGGCCGCGGAGAAGGTCTCATCCCTGTACTACCGCTCATTCGACAAACACGGCCGACCCGATTTGCCCACTTTCTATGTCGAGTCGGCCACTCTCCTGTGGAATGGAAATCGCGTCGAGGGGAGGCATGCGGTTGTTGACTTTCTTGCTACCAAACTCCCCAAAAGCCAGACTACAATTCACTCCATCTCCGCACAGCCTGTCCAAAGTGAGTGGTTGTTATCTGAGAAACCAAATCAATAGAAGCGGGGTTGTGTTATCTGGCACAGCCTTGTTTTCGAGACTGAATGAAGAATTGTACACCGAAATTGTACACCTCGCATAGCAATCAGCGCCCTAACTGGCATATCTCTTTGCGAGCCTTAGCAGCTTTCTTGTCCTCGTGGAAGTAACAGGTGTAAGATGTCGAAAGTGTTCGTTTTCACAATTCCTCATGGTAACATTGACCCCAAGTAAGCTAAAAATGGTATCCGGCTAAGTCGACGCTGACAGAAGACCCCGCAGACATGCAATTCCACCAATTTCTGAAAATCGATGTCACTTTATTCCCAAGCACCCCTGATAGTTAAGGCCCACTACCTTCCTCTCGAAGCTGCTGTATTAACTGGAGATGAAGGTATCTGGTCATTTGGTGCACAAAATTGGCGTGATTGCCCCTCCTCCAAGTTCTTTCAATTGCAAAGTCTGTGAAGGGTGTGCATGGCTTCGTCGACTTGCTTGCGAGGCTAAAACTTACTGAAGCAACTAGGACTAGTAAGCCACGTCAACCTGGGTTTGTTCACGATCAGCGTCAGTGATATGTTCTAGCGGCGATTGCTGTTTCATGTGTAGGCATAGCCGTGTGATTGTGACTCGGTGATGGTGTATACAATCTCACTGTTTTTTTCTAACTTAGAATCCCTCAGTGGTGATAAGACGGTTGTGATGGTAAACACATTCGGAACTGTGAAGTTTGATGGAAATCCACAGAAGATTTTCTCCGAGACCTTCTTTCTTATCAAGGAGGACGTCGTCTGGAGGATACAGTCGGCCACCTTCCGATTTATCGAGTAATGTATCCCGTGGCTTCATTCCACTCCTTGAAATGTATCCACTTGTACAGTATGAGTGACCCCGCTATTAGAGAATCACACGTGTATCCTTTCTTATCACCGCCCTGTCTTTTTCCTTGAGGCCTTGCAATTGCGCAGTTGTTAAGTGAGGATTCGGTGTGACTGCCGACTGACAGTTGCACGGTCCAGGCAGTCGTGCTATTTTTGTGCGACATTAGCACTCAGTTCAATATGCTTAAGAGGGTTCTTGAGTTGTAAGTTGCGTCTTGTGCCACTGGCCAAGTGCTTTGCTAGTTAGTTTTCTGCTGCGGCCACCTCGGAGCATAACTGCCAGTATTGATGATGTTGCCAACAACTCACCCCCCTGCTGTTCTTTAATTCAGTGGCTGTAGAAATGACGTGCGCACTTGCACGGTGATCTGACCGACTTAGGCATTGCCTGATTTTACTTCATAGATGGGTGATCTGTGGGGCTTATTCGTAGATCGCTTAGGTGACCAATGCCTGAGGTTGTGTTTGAGTTGCAGCCGCAACCTGATGCGTTCACACGTCTCACAGTGCAGTGCTTGTTGTTGTTGTGGTGGTTGCTGTCGTTTAGAAAGAAATATTCGCGTTGTTAGGGTTGCTGGGTGGTACTTTGGGGGTTTCACGAGTGTTGAATGGTGGGCGTGAAAGATTCGACGACCGTTATTGTTTGCATTATAAACAAGTGAGCTGACTCCGTTTTTTTTGTTCCGCTCACAGATCCAACAGCGAATTCGTCGATTTTCCATGAAACGCACTTTAGTTGATTGAGCGAAGATTCTCTGGGTGGTTGTTACAAGCGATCGTAAAACTGGGTCCTTTAGAGTCATGCCTCGCATGCGATGGGCGGCATGCTTTGGGATTCGAGCAAACTCGTAGCCTTGACTCACGGAAGCGTTGCGAGATCAGGAAAACGAGCCTACTTATTCTGGCTGACAAGTTCGATCCTATCGACAATCATGACGCCAGCCCAACTGATCATCTCAAGTCCTCCAAGATTGCCCCGTGAAACCCATGGCAATATGACCCAACTGTCGTTATGGATTTTCAGTTGAACGCACCCTGATTCAGTGGATTTCTAAACCGCAACCCTGTTAACTGTATTTCTACACGTCGACACTGCCTCCAGGCCAAAAGTCAAGCGCGAAATTTGTGCGAGTTAACGACGCAGGATACAGGCGTTTATGCGGAAAAATAGGCATTCAGTTCAGAATACATCTAAGAAGCAAACTGAATTGACGTGTACTGTCATAAAACTCCATTATAAGTGTTGTACCAGTGACATATAGTGATTAGAAGTAGCTTTTCAAAATTTGCATATTATCTCCAACCAGACTATTTTTAGGCTACTGGTGTTAAGGAAAACATGTGTCGCTTTCCCAACACTCGTTCGCCTTAAATTTCTGTTTCTGACACAAACGGTAGTTGGTTCAGTGGTCAATGCTTGTCGTCTCAAAAGCTGTAATGTTTCCACTTGAGAATATCAAATGCAGTCCGAAAAATCCGTGGTCATTTTTGAATGAAAATACGCATTTGATGTAACTAAATGGATATTCACGTGAAACTGGCATAAGTGATGCATGACATGGATTGCTATTAGGGTGCGGTGAGCCGCTACGTACGAGGTTGTGCAATGTGCCTCAACACAGCTAAACCTGTCGACATTCGAAGACCGTGCCGTAATTTAACCTGCCGTCCATCCGCGCTGATGCTTCCACCCAATGTCCAAATGCACGTGCGTTGCCAATAACTGTCCACTGAGCACCTCACGAGTGAAGCTCTACGACTGTCACCTGACAGCCCGACTATCCATGCACAAGAATGCGTGTTCGGACTCCAAACCAATGACCTCTCGAAGTAAAATCATTTGTCGTCCTGCTGACGTCATGCGCAAAACACCTCCTTGCAGCACTCTGAGGAAAACTTGCGTTTCCTACTTCGTATCCTCCATAACTCCTCGAGTCGGCACAAATTAACCTTGCTCCGTTGCCACCCAATTGCACCACGCAATGCAGCCCCTTCTTCAAAACTGATCCATCAACCATGAAGGAATACTTGTGCATCATAATTTCACGAATACGGCACTCGTGAAACACTGTTCGATTCTGCTCTTCCTCGAACAACCTCCCAGCATTTTCTGCCACTATTTCACATTTCCTGCGCTTCCTCGTCTTGGGGCCACTTAAGTAGGCACGTGGATTTTTGTTTCATTAATATATTACGGACAAAGCAACACCCAACACCTGTGCAGCAGTTGGATTAGTGAAAATCGCATAACGATATCGCAACGTACAGCTTCGTAACAAATTCTCAGGATACGGCCCATTTACAGCAGGAAGGGTGACACTTCTCGATTGTCGTTCTATGTAGCGGTATTTCACACTTCATTAGGACATAGGTAGCATGAAGTGTATTTTTGTGGCAGTATTCAAGCTGCACTGTAAATCCCGTTCTACGGTGACACCCAGAGAACGCGGAAACAGGGCAGGCGTTAGCATTGGCGGCACGACGACGTGGACACGACGGGCATTCACCTGTCTCCCCGAGGCCCGATGCGTCATGTTCTGCCCGTGTGTGTGAGGACATCTTCATTAAGGGCATGCCTAACAGAGACCAATGCGAGATAGTGGTGAGTCAGAAATTTCGATTAACTAGCAATGCACGTGCTCAGATAAACTCGAGTTTATTTTCGTCCTCGACCTAAGAGAAGAGATGGACTACCGACGAGTCAGCGCGAGGCATGCAATCCAGGCAAACACTCGGAACAAAGTGTGGGATGGAGAGAGGAAACATCTAGAAGACTTTATTAGAACACGGCTACAAGACGAATAGAGGAGAAAGAGTGTAAACTGAATGATAGAGTTCGGGAGACAGGGGACAATCCATACACTAATTGTTGGGCAGGCCTCAAAGGGTAAAAATAAAGAAAGAAGTTACCAGGCATGAACAGAGTTCGATGTCGTGGAGTGTGGCGTTCGTAACACGCTGTCGAATAGGCCACCTTTCCACCTTGGCGGTGAAACACAGTGAAGGTGCGACGAACTGCGGCGCAGGGAATAATCAAATCAGAAAAGGTGTGTGAGTAGTTGACCTAACTCGTTACGTCGTTTCAAGCGTCAGTCTCAAGCGAAAACACCGTAGCTCATGACGTTGATAAGCCAAGCCAAGCCCTAATGAACTACGGCTGTTGATTGTGTGGTGGCTGATACGCTGCTCTCCAAGTCAAATAAGTTGTCGAATTTTTCGGCTAAGGTCGAAGGTGATCGCCTGGCAGATAATCCTTCTGGATTCTGCTTGACAACCGCGTGTTCACTCGAAGTGGCATCGCAGCAGAGCACACCCATTCAGAGGATACGGGTATTTATTAATAATTATATAATTAAGCATTCTTTGTTCGATTTGGGTGTCTGATTTGTTGTGAAATGTGTTTGACAGCTTCACGTCTGTGGCAAATGAGCAAGCTGCGGCTACAACGTAAGCAAACTCCTCTTGATTTGTGTTTTTTATGTATTTTTGTGTCGTGTTTGCATGTCTGTCAAGAGTGACTGGCGTGACACAGCGAACATCTGATTGGGGGTTCTCAACAGTCTAGGACATTCAACGGCAGGATCTGATCTTCCAGCACATGGAGACGACGCATATTTGTTTAAACCAGTAAGTTTTTTGTGAATCGTGTTAATTCCCCCCCCTCACCTACATCCGGCCAGTCCATTCCTCGACATAATGACTTCCTTCACACTACATGCTGTTGTTGAGACGCCATATCTCACTAACTGCCCAACAAACCTGAAGTCGGTGGAAGGACAGCGAGTCAAGAGTTTATTCGGGAACTTGACGAAGCCGTGGTGGTCTGTGGGGTTTGCGCGTGCGCATTTATAGCTCGGATGTGTGAGCAATCACGGCGCTAACATCGAGAACTAGGCGCGAGGATAATCCAAGATAAATATTCGTGTTAATGAAGGGGGAGTTGAGGATTCGCGCGGCTAGCACCATGCTGCGAGAAAGGGGAACCCTGTTTCGGAGGCGGAGCGATCGGATTAAGGGGTTGAATAAACACGATTCACAACACTGTCACCTAAGCGGAACCTCAACTCACACCTCATTATCGCGAACGGGCATCCAGGATTATCACTACGTGTGATTGCACCCACCTAATTATCGATATTAGCACATTTATGGCTCACGCCGCTTCGCAACTCTGAGGTATAAATAAACACACGTGCGAACGCCGCCCAGAACACCCACTCGGTTGAGCTCTGAAGTAAGCGGTTGTGTCCACGTCCTGTCCAGTCTTCGTCGTCATCGTGGGTGGCAGGATGAAGCAATTTGAAGCTTGGTTCTCGCAAATTAAATGTGCTGCATCTAGATTACCCATACCTGACCACTGCTTCTATGCTACCAGAGTAGCTCAAATTACAAAAATTACGCTTAGGGTTGCATGACCTTCCATCCACTGATAAAATTACATTTCATAACGAAATTCGGCAAGGAACGATAGGATTCTGAGTAGCTCACTTATTTTAAGTTACATGTATTATTTTGTAACAGTGTGGTTTTGTTTGATCACGGGTTTGTGAATGCTCTTCGGTCCACTGTAGATTGTGCATTTTGCTCCCAACCCCTGGTCCGCACACACACACACATTCGTGAGAATGATTAGTACTGATCTCTAGACGAGGAAGAGAAGGATTTTCTTTTCAAGTTACAATGTAATTTATCATGGCATGCTGAGTGATCGAGTCCGAATACATTTGGGTGCCCGTCTACGTAACTTTCGCGCTTGCACGCCCGTCTCCTTCCTGTTTACGTTGAAAGAAAACGAATCCAAGTGCGAAACATATAGACATCAGGCGCTTTGAAATACAAATAAATGGATACAACACATATAATAAAACACATCCAATTTGTTGTACATAGATATTAAATGTATTACTTCGATAACTCTAACAAAATGCATTTGACAGGAACTAGTTTGAGCGTTTCCGCCTGCCTTTATCCAAAGACGAGAGCCTCCTCCGCTTTGCCTCAGACTTCGAACGCCTGTCTTTTGGGGATTCCTCATTCTCGTTGTGGTCTCTTTCAACCGGGTGAACATCTTCTCTCACTATTGTCGGCTTATCCTCTGGTCCGTATATCTTCACGTCGGCGTGGTCAGCGCAAATCCATCGGCAGGTGAGGACGAGAGCTGTCTTCTGCTCCTGGGTGAGCTGAGACTCAGCGGAATCGTCGTCGCCATTGATGATCTTCAACGCCGACTGCCAACGTTCCAAGTCAAGGTCGTCAACCTGAATACGCTTATTCTCCGACTCGGCTTCAGCATGTTCCAAACAGTAAGAGTTGGGGCAACGCCAACACAAATGGCTCGACGGATTCCCACAGTCGTCGCAGTAGTGCCACGGACAAAACCAGATACCTGACAGAAAAGGGAACAATCACCGAGCAGAGCCCATGAAAGAATATAATCCAGAGAATTGTACTTCGCTAAGTACTAGATCCTCGCTATGCAATCCGAAAATACAATAATGGCTGAATTGATCTTTCCCTGCCACACGTTACGCAAGTTTTGCAAGGGTCTTGTCATAGAGTTAAAGCTGACAGACGAAGATAACCAAGAACATGGAATAATTTAGACCTCATAGGTACGTTGACCAGAAAAACCAAGACCTTGGCTGGAAGGTAGTAAGCTAAGAAGGCCGAACGTACCAAATGGCGGTCTGACGAGGCCCAGGCAACCAAGGTGATACGCTTTGGGGCAGCTCGATTTATCGCAAAGTATCAACTCCCCGCCGTCCCCGCAACTTGGATCATCAAGAAAAGGGAAGAACAAAAGAAAATTAGTGAAACCCACAACAGGAACATTAATGCAATCGACGCTGTATAGAGGGAGGATGATGAATGCAAAATAGACTGGATCCGTCGCGTCATATACACAGAGGTGGCGCATGCGTTGCGTTGCTATAGAATTGCGTTGATTCTGCTGAACAATACTTTGACATTGTCTTAAATTGAAAAGATATTTAAATAGTGGAAAATATATCCCAGTTGTACGTGACTGGCCAGGGGCGCTACTTTGTGTATTTGCGAAGCAAAGTATACGAAGTCAACACAATGAGCTTTGGGTTGCGGTGTAAACAAAAAAACTCAAGACAAACATTCTCCAGACACATCGGACTATAAATATTAGCGGTGGTACGTTAAAATTTGGCTTTACCGATAACAGAAATCATCGTGGGATGATTTCTTTGAGGGTTTAGTCTCCACCACCTTTGGAGAAGGCCCGACTGTCGGCACTGCAACCACCTTCTTCTGCGGCTTGACATCAACAGATGCCGCAGCTGAAAGGAGTTGCGACATGTTGGCGCCGCCTCCTGCCGATTTTCGGCCTCGTTTAGACTTGGGCTCCTCCACTACCTGTACCTCCACGACCTGGTCTGCACCTTTCTCGTTAGATTTGGATGCCACAGCGGGTGTGGCGTTCTTGGCCTTCTCGGGACAGTGGAAGGACGAGGGGAGGTGAAGGGAGCCCTGACAAGAATCTGCACCGCAGAGGCAAATATTCCGATTGCCCACAAAGCTACTATCTAGTAGGTTTGCCTGTTGGTAGTCTAGAGTCAATTCATCCTGCTCTGATAGAGGGCTGAGAGCAAATAATCCTGAAAGGTATACATAAAATATGTCGGTTTACCCGATTTCATTAGAAAGATAAACGCGCCATTTAGGGCAGTCCAAATAACACATTAGTTTAATCAGTAAAAGTCCGTTATCGGGAGATTTTGAGGATCACACCACTTGTATCAACTGTAAATAGTACGAGATGCCATGCTTTCCGGGAAAGCAATGACGAGAGGATTATCCGGCTAGTGACCAGACTACATTGCAAAAAAGGATGTAGTCGGAAGAGACAGTTTACGAAGAGGGGAAGAGTAGTACGATAAACAAAACTAGCTACGCACCCATTCTGAGGGTGCCACGAACATTCCACAACTTGGCAACGAGATTTGGTTCGCAGGAATGATTAACGAACCGCGCCAGGTTCCCCAGTTTCTCGGCATCTATCACGAGTTCGGGGGTGAATCTGATCAGGTAGGTGGTGGGCATTGTTTCGGAGGTGAATCGGGACTGGGAGGTGGAGCCCTGGTGACCGCGATGCGCCGCACGCGCTGCGATGCTCGCTTCAAGTCGTCGATTGGCCTCCTCGACGCCAATCACTTCACCCATGAATTCAACCACAAAACTGCCCTACAAGAGCGATGGCACCGGTCACAACTCTGGTTTGCGTTCAAGAGACTGCGTCATCATTGGAGAGATTCGAGAAGACAAAAAGTAGACCCCCATAGGTTTGATCCTACCTACGACAACAAACGGGCACACTTTAAATGTACCTCCTTCACATTTTCCAGCACTTTCAAGCCGAAGCCTCGATTGGTCGTGCGAAACACGGCGAGCGATGGCTGCACGGAGAAGGGCCTGTTGCCGCAGTCGACGGAGGGGTTGTGCGCGAGCACACTGCAGACCTGATCTGTGCACTCGATGCCCTCGGAGGCGTTGCGACACTCCGTCTCCTTCGAGCAATGCGTTTCAGTCTCTGACTTGGCACAGTCACATTTGGTTTCAGGCAACTCTTGTTTGGCTAGCTGGAATAAAGGTAAAGACATGTTTGGCAATCTGTAAGAGCCGAAGAAAATGAGTCAATAAGCGTGGGTGGTGTGGGCGGACGTTAGGCCAAGAGGAATTTACCACACGAATGGGACACTAAAGTGTCTCTTCGGGAACGTTAGTTATGCGCTCTGCGGTAGAGTAGGAGGAATTTATATCATTTGACACCCACACTTCCTGATGAATTGTTGTAGCCAATCATACATACATGTGCCAAGGCAAGCTACCTACGGCTGGACAATTAGAAGCATGGGGGAATGAAAAATGGAACAGAGCAAAAAACAAAGTCGAATTGCAACGAAGTTGACTGGGGTTAGAAGATTGGCTGATATGGCGAAATGCTAGAAGACACAGGGTCACAAAGCAATAGACCGAGGGGAAAGCATTTAAAAAACGCACCTTTTCCAACGCTGAATTTGCGTACTGGTTGGAGACGACTTGCTGGAAAGACGACAGTGCCTCAGCCAGCTGCACAGCATCGGTATCTTGGTGCGGCGTGAGGCCGAGAGCAATCGCCGTCTCTGGGGTAGACAATGGGACGAGCTCTTCGTCTGAGAGTCGAGTAGCACTCATTGAGCGCAGCGGGATACCTCGCTTCCACACATAATTCACGTAGAACTCATGCACCTTCGGGGCCATTTTCGCAGCTAAAAAGTGGAAGGCTTTCTGGGATCTTTGTGTGTGTGTGTGTGTGTGTGTGTGTGTGTGCGACGCGACTCAAATACTATCGTTGCAAGCAGACGAGAAGTCTGTTGCAATTCCATCCAAATATTCGACAAAGCTATCGTTAAGGAGGAGTGAAAGATTAAAGGAGATACAAAAAGCAGTTCAGGTTCTTCGAATAAGTGGTTTTGAATAAAGTCACTCATACGAGCCGAAATTTGACATTCCTTAAGTATTGTTTAAACAAGCGAGTTCACAGCGCAGTATACCAGGCTTCTTCAAGCAGCAAATAACTTCAGTAATCGATAAAAATTAAGTGCTATCTAGTAAGAAATTAATAATGGAGGAGCCGAATAAGTTGGGCCTCAATTAAAGCGAGCATGTGTCGCTAATGGAACTGCCTTACATAGGTTGAAGGCCACGTCTTTCTTGGAGTTGGATTTTGCCAAAACGGCCGCCGAGGTGTTGAGACCACACTCGTAGGGGAAGGTCTGCGCCCTGCACACCCATTGGTACTCCCCAGAGCCTATGAAGTGGATCAGGAAGGTGCCTTCTGGGTGAGCCAAGTTGAAGATGTTCAACGGAGCGTTTCGAGCGTGGATGATCTCACAGGGCCACCAACGGAAGAACGGGATCTTCGCCCAAACCACCTGGGCGTAACGCGGCTCAATGTGTTGGCTAGAGGGAGATTGGGCAGTTAGAGGAGAGCGAGGGAAACATGAATTCCAATTTTTTTACGAGAAGGGCCGAGTACACTCGCATTAACAGTGTTTACCAAAAAACAAGACATTGGTGCCCCTGAGACGCACCAAATCGTCTAATAACCCAACACTAAACAAGGCAACAGAACTACGCTTCCGTTATTCTTGTCACGGAGATCACATTGCAAAGTACCCAATTTTAAAAAAAATCACATTTAAACTCTTTTTTCTAACTTTTGCAGGTCGCTGTCACAGATGGCTGCACAATTCTGCACTTAATGGGCTCGATTTGCTTGCAATTGTGAATGTGAGTCTTGAGGCCCGAGTAATCAAGGAAATAAATTGACAAATTGCACTCAAGTTCGGAGTGCAAACGGCGTTATGCGAAGAACAAGGAGTTGCCAGCGCGCATATGTACTCAGATAACTCCCTGTATATACAAAAAAATGTTGATAACGCCCGACTTCCGAAACGGATGAACAACGAAACCTCGTAGGTGCGAATTGTGTGAAAATCATGTATTTATAAATCAAGTTCGAAACTACATGACACAATTCGAAGCCTTCCGATAAACCAGAAATGCATTCGGTGGGATGAAGCAGACGCATCCTTTAAATGCGGTTAACCCTGCAAATCTTAGAAATGTAACCAAGTACCTGGTTTATCATGATCTCCCACTCCTACACTACGATATTGCCAGAATGATGCTGCACAACGACGGCGCCAAATTCAGACCTGAACTCACCGACAATTTTTGCATGTGAAGGTGCTTTCTTCGGAGACACCGACTTGTTCATCCTCCGGCAAACACGTGCGGTGATAGTTGAATGGGCAGGTTTTGCAAAATACCTGAAGAGCAAGGGCATTTTGAGGTGAAGAGAGAGCACCACGTCCATCGCTGATGACATTTACAAGATTTTAATTACGATAAAAGCGACGGTCCCAATTGAGAGACATCGCACGTGAAAATTTCTCCCTTCATGCGTACAATACCCATATATTGACCTGCCCCTCCCCCCAAATTGCGTTTGACCCCAACTAAGTGCCAGCTGACGAGTACACACACTGGAGTGTTATTCGTGCTAAGAGACACACGCCAAATTTCACAGTACTCGAGCAAAACAAGCCCAAATTACAAACTATGCCAGCTTAAAAGAACCCAGAAGTCAATTAGCACATGGAGCGAATCCCTTAACTCTGAGACACACCTATGCATTTTGTATGGTGGCAATTTTAACCCTAACATATCAATGGGGTTGAAGCAATGGAACGATGAGCAATTCCTGTTGTGTTATGAAAGTTGACTTCAACTCAGTGGGGTGACACCGCAAGGTTAAATGCCAGAGTTACGAGTGGCGCATACGGGAGTACGGCAACGCCAAATCACAACATTGGCTAGTTGGTGAAACTTAGAGTGAACTAGGCTCGCGGTTAACAAATAAAATTGAAGCGGTTATCGGCATTGTGTGAAATGCCATATTTCCACAGGGACAAATGTCTGGAATACTTGCACAACGAGACCAAATTAGTCACGAGAGAAAGCACTTTATAGCGTAAATTTATCTGATTCCTGGTAATTGTGAGATTGTCTTAAACTTTACCAATTACGTTTAATCTAGCAAGCGTGAAGTTGACCAATAACCAGGTTTTGCCTTTTTGGCGGTGAGTAAATCCCACTATCTCGTCAAATTGCTACTGAAGACTGACCTAGGTGTTTTTGGCAAGAGTTCACATCTGATGATTGTAAACTACGATGAAAGTTCTGCACAGCTCCAAACAGGTGAATATCTAGGGCATAAAGTCCAGACTGTGGGTGTGAAAGCATTTCAACCATATGGGAATACGTGGTGTAAGTTTGCCATAGTGAAAAGTAACAAACTTTCATGGAACATGTCATAATCAGAGGGGAAAAGGTACATTTGTTTATGATATCGCGGGTTTCTGGCATAAAGAAATAGCTTCGAGACAATATTGGTGATGTTGAAATGGATTCGAATAACATAACGCATTTATGGTCAATGGACGGCATTAAAAAATTGTTTGAGTGCAACCCATACGATAGTATTTACCTGTAAGCAGTACCACTATTTTCCGGATAGGTTACGCTACAAATAATCAATTTCATTGAATGTGTTGTAATAGCAACATCATATTTTCGTTCTGTTTAAAAAACCAGTGTCGATGATAAATGCAGTCGTCCAAATTACAACCGTCCATTTACTCCGACACCCAGACATCAAAATACACCACCGAACCAAGCTTCTCCCAATGACTTGAAACTCCGCTAAGACAGATTCTTGTGTGGCGTAAGCTTTCCTTGTCATTAATCATAGAAATAACACTACATGCATACCAAGCAACAGATTGCATAACGAGGGATACAGAATTTTCCATGTTAAACAATTACCATCACCAGCTTCATTCACAGAAGAGTTTATTATATGGCATCACTAAAATGTGCCGCATGATACAGGCTTAGTTGGTGCGCCTATATTTGCGCAGAAAACCAGATTTCCAATCACGCTAAATTCCATTGAGAGACGTCCTACTTGTGCTGAGTGAGTAACGGTTCGAGAAAAACTAATGTACTGCGCGAAATAGAAAATGAGGATAAACGCGATACCGGTCATGCTTCCAGGCGGAATGAGCGCACCTGCAGAAGGTTCGCTTGAGCATAACTTGGACATTTGTACAAACAGGGACAGGTTTTTCGCAAACTGTAGACCTAACGTTTGCCACAGTGCAACTCATTTCATCCTGGTGTACTCAGACCAACACAATAAGGCCCCGAGTACTTTGCCAACCCAGGAGGACGATTTGAAGCGATGCAGCGTGTGAGGCAAAGAGTCAAAGGTTAATTTGCCCAACAAGACGTACCCGATCAGCACCCGCCTTAAGGCAGGCGAAGCACCACGCGGGCCACTGGGTCTTGTAGTGCTGGTCCTCGCTCAATTGGCTGGAGAAGTGGGCTGGACACACGATATGCGACAAGGAGACCTCCACGGAACCAGCTGGTGTACACAAGTCGCCTGTGTGGTACACCCGAGGACACCTTAACAGAGGTTCAAGAGGACATCATATTCGATATGAGAATGCTCAGATGGGAGCTGGTACGACTGTGCTGTGGGACTCTCGAAATCTGACTACGACCTACTTACCTTCCTGCCTGGAATCCACCTGCCCTATGCAATTTATGATAATGCCTACATTCAAGGGGATGTAAAACGCCTCGGTAAGTGTTTTTTTAGAACGGAGAACAAGAAGCCTTGAATGGGTACACTTTGGAGGACACACAAGAAGACAGGAATGTCAATGATTCACAAGAGCAATGGCTCAGTCTGAAGTAATTAAGGTCGCTTTCGGTTCGTATTTCAGATGCGGGGTCGGTGCCACACACTGACTTTTGAAGTCAAACAACACCGCACTATTCTGTTCCCGTATTTCTTTTCGAACATGAGTGTAGGGTAAAACAAGCAACACATGCTCCCAAAACAACAAGTAAAAAGTCTTGCCATTTAGTAACTGAAGACGGCATGTTTAGCAATACTGGACGGTAACGTCAAGCACCAAATTTAGTGGCCAAATATTGTGGCATTAACATTTGCAAACAAATCGGTAACAAGATGGTGAGAGCCTACGAGAAACAAGGGGTAACCTCTAGGTATGGGTGATTGCAGTAAATAAAACGCGTAAAGCATAATGGCTGGCTATTTAAAGCACAGTTACGACAAACTGTCATTAATTCAATAATCGAAAACGTGAAAAACGTGTGCGTGTAGTTTGTTGAACTCTAAACAGCTTTCTTCTCGTGTTAACATTAACGTGAAATACAAGTTTCTACATTTTCTACTTCCCGAGTCGATTCGCATTCCACTACAAGCCAATTCAACTAGTGGAATACAGTGAGTTGAATCAAGTTACGTGAGTAAGATTTGGCAAGTAAACACCAAACGCGAGTCACGGAGGAAGAAAGAACCAGAACAGAAACTTTTGTTAGTGTTTGCCCAAAAATGGCGTTAGTCGCATGTCCTATTCCTCATTTATCTCACACTAGTGGATGGAATGCTGTCCAACATATGCTTGTCCGGGGGAAGGACTTAACAGATTTTATTGCCAAGTTATGAGCATGTAGACATGCCGGACGTTCAGTGGTTTTGACGATCATCAGGTAAGGCGGGCTCTAGCCACACAGGTTCCGCTGTGACAGCCCCGATACACACGTCGTCATGAAGAAATTCACTTACCATCTGTGTGTCTTTTTTTAAACTATTACGCGAACAAACTAATCGTGTGTGTGTGTGCGCGCATCACGCTCTAACGATTTCGAGGCTGTAGGCACAAACAATCGCCCACAAAATAACGGACAATATTTTTGCAGTTTATGAAAGTAATCCATTTGAAATCTAGTGAAGGCAATGTCAATACATCTCCTACACTTAGCATTAAATTCACTTGTCAAATGCCGTCTCATTGAAAACCTTATGGATTCTGGTTGAAGTCAACCGCAACCGATTATTTAACGCGACGTTTTTTACTATCAAATCATTCTCACTTACACACCTTATTAATGTTGCGCATTGACTCGCGCTATCACCACAATGTTAAATAACCCAATCACGACATTATGACATTTTCTACCTAGGTCAGGGGAATAGGCGTTGGCGAACAAGCCGAAGAATGGGACAATTTGTATAGTCAAAGGATTGTACAGACGCTGAAGACAAAACAGACGCATACCCTAACACACTGTAGAAATAACGCTGTCTTATTATTCAGTTTTTTCGTTCAAGTAAACACGGTATGAACAAGACTTAATGATTCAAATTCAGTGAATAAGAGTCAGAAGGACTAACCTCAGTGCACCTCGCTCATATGTCAAGTAAGCTAAAATCGCTTAGGACTTTGGTAGCTGACGACGACACGAGTGTCAGGCTATTCCACACCACCAATGATTTGGCAGAGTATGTTTACAATAGATATAAATACTAAAACAACCCTGACTACAACGGCATTCAAGGAAATGAGAAAAGATGGAGTCATTGTGAAAAATGTGTGATGAATAGTGGCGGGGATCGGGACTACACCGCCGCCTTGAATGATGAAGCAGAACTTCAATGGTAGGCCAATTGCGGTAACATTAGTGTGGCCCAATAGGATTGCTGGATAAGGAGCAAGAGGGCATGACATCCAAATCATGGCAAGTTGAGCAAATAGTAATAATGGGTAACGAGGATTGTCAAGCTTGCACCATGACATACTATCGCGTGTGAGGGTGCAATTAACTCCAACTCACCGAACACACTGAAGCATAGGCCGGTTGGGATCGACGACGACGTTGTCTGGGTCCTCCAGACAACAGGTGGCGCAGACGTGGGCGGGACACCTGCTTAGCGTGTCCGCCAGCACCACACCCGGATGTTGAGCAAGGCAGCCACGATGGAAGTGTCGGCCACAACCCTTCATCTGCAAGCGTGACGAAAACAGCACAATGATCCATACAAAAGCACTTTTTAAATTATTGCTACTACAGTTAGGTGTTCGGACTCGCCTGGCAGGGAAGCAGTTGATCGTCCGTATTGGTCTTTTTCGAGGAGTCGCCACAAACGGCACACAGATACTTCTGAGTTAGGCATTGAGGGCACTTAAAAATCTCTGGTCGCTGGTTCTCTGCAATAAAAAATTGAGATTAACGGGTTTAAAACTGCTCACAACCTGTCAACCTATTCCCAGGTCTGGGAATGCAAAAGTAAACCGAATCATTTAAACAAGTTTTTCACCTCGTATGGGCATGATATTGCACACGCCGAAATGTTTGATCTTTACATGTGTGCCGAGAATCTAGCGGTTGTAAGACACATCTAATTTGCTTGCCTGTGAATTGATTTAATGTTTCATAAAAGGACAAAAAACGCCGAAAGTATGCGGATTCCCGTGAAATTATTAAAGAAGTAAGAATGAGGAAACTGCATCGAAAGACCACTTTCCACTACGAGAAAAACTGGAGCTCATTCAACAAGGCTCCCCAATTTTACTAGGAAGAACAGCCCCACCACCACCAACTTTCCCCTGTGTTCAACTAAGGAGGCAATTAAAAACCATATTTGAATCATCAGATACGGGGAATTGAGAAGTTTTGAAGCAGTGCGAAGATCCCAAGACTTCACATTGGAGCTACCGCAAGTAGCCATCGCCTACATTTACTGCCTGATCCTCCACGCCGATATGCGACAGTTACAGGACTTTCGTTGTGTAACAGGAGCGTTAAAAATACTACACCTAGGTGACCTGAGGTGGCTTTAACCAGAATTAGTAGTAGCCGATTCGACATCAGCCTGAACAATCATCTACGCAGTGGAAACAGACACCTAATGGCAACAAAGCCTACCAGGCTTAGGGGGTTCCTTGTAGCGCATGCATCGGGGGTGGACGATGCGACCACAGGGGCCGTTGCATTTGAGCATCTGCCCGGGGGCGCTGGAGTATACCTCGCACACGGGGCACACGGGCTGGAAGCGAAAGGGCGCCGGCGACGCAATCAGTCGGTGAATCTCCAGATCTAACTCCAGCTTCTCCCGTGGTTTCTGTTTTTTGGGCTGGCAAAGGCACACAGAAAAACGAACTAAAGTGAACCCCGGATGTAAAAGGGCAGCTAACATTGGCAAAATTAGGATGTACGGATCGTGGAAGGCGTGGGAAATGGGAAAGGAATAAGTGAGCGGCAAGGAGAAAAGCTTAAAATGAACAAGGTCTCCTTAGATATTCTTTTTTTTTATCTCAGTAAGTTGGTAGTGATACCGAATCCTTACAATCCGAGTTTTCAGCACAAATAAATAGTGTAATATCGCTTAATTAGTACCCAGAACACCACTCTGTGCAGGCCCATGTAGCGTAGGAATAAGCCCGGGAAGATGTACACGAATGAAGCGACAGTTTTATGGATAATTCAGGGCACATAAATTTCGTGCATTTCGATTGAGTTAACGAAAGGTAATATAAGCTCGTTCTTACAAAAAAGAGGTTACCAATGTTTATAAGATTCGCAATTAACAGACGTTAAAACACTCCACAATTTATAAAACAGGAATTTGAAGGGTGTTATCCGTTTATTTTTGTGGAACGACATCTATTACTGTAATAAGCACTAAATTACGGTAATAAGTTAAAGTGTATATATAATCTACTACAAATCCATTCCAAATTAAACTTTGTGAATTCAATCAGCTAAGAGGTCATTAAGTAGATCGGGCCGCCGTGATTTTAATTTTTTATGACTATCTTAATATGGGTAAATAATGGCAACACGACTAAATGTTTTCCACACAAAAAATAATCCAAGACATCACGTGTATGTCGGTATGACGAAAAAAGAAGGTAAATAAACAAGTTCCACTGCAAACAGCAGGGATTTATTTATATAACTCTTACCAGATGGTTTTGACCTCAATATCATTAAACAATTACACAACATTAAGAACCTCCAATTCAAAAAATCAAATTAACTATTACCCAAACATGCCAAATTATTTCAGAATTAGGAGGAATAATCCCGGACCATACTACTAAAACACGAATTCTTGCTTCACATTATCAGTGTTTTTTACTGCTTATGCAACTGTTTCGACAAAAACTAAGCACAACACTGCATTGTTTTGACGCAAATGTAAATCAATTAGGCTATTACACCCATCCAATATTATTGAATAACTTATTTCATAGACCATTTGGAGTGCAGGAACCCACCAGACAGAAGGTTTCTACTCGTTTTATCGAGTAGACTTAGTTTATGGTCCTGCATTAGTTTCATTTAATGTGGTTGGCGCTGGCTGACAAACAATACCAGCTACCAAAATTTGAAAAAAAAACATACAAAATAACTAAACTACAAAGCTTACTTTATCAGATTTATTGGCCTTTGGCGTGGGTTTCATGCCTGAACTTTCGTCTGTTGACAAAACCGATTTGCGTCCAGCACCACGGGTAGTTCTTGAGTGGTCCATCTGCAAAGACAGCAATATCGCTTACAATAGGTTTATGGTATCTGGGGTGGGCATTGACACCGAAGAAGAAAAGTCGATAAGTAGGAACTTTATTTCCAAGACGATCAAAACAAAGACTGTAGGCAAGCGACAGAGAAGGGACTGAGTTGATTAGAGTGGGAGAAAGCTAGGAAGAGAATGTGAAAAGGAAAGGGTTAATAGGGAAATGTCAAGAGGGGTCGGGAAAGCAAAATTAATGTGATATTTGAATTTTTAGAATCAAAACAGCGCCCCCGACACCTAAATGTCAACGACGGTTAGCCGTCGGAACTTAAGCAACGTATGTTAACAAACCAGTATAGTGAGCAATCGCAACAGAACAAAATGAGCTTTCAATGATTGATATTATACAAAGAACGAGGAGATAAGAAGCACAAAAACAAATTTATATTCAAAATTGTGATATGTAAGCACGAAAACAACAGTTCTTAACATTAAGACTAGGAATCATCTTCGACTATTTAAATTCAAAATAACGAAAAAAACGATCTTCTCGAATGCGATGTTGCATTTAATAAATAGCCGTATAAAAGCCGAGCTGCATAGCGAAATTCAAAATAATTAGGATGTGCGGACTTACTTTAAACTCAGACTCCAGATTTAACATTTCCAGCTTGTTCGATAAATACGAGCGTTTGGTTGCAATATCAAAGGCAGGCCATTGAATACGAAGTGCATTATCCAGTTCCAATTCATTAAGATTAGCATTTAACAACATCCGTCGAGTTTTTTCAACTTGTACAAAAGTCTCAATTGACTCAGTTTCTTCATCCAGTGTGAGTGGGACGCTGTCCATCATTTTCAACAATTCGGCTTAAACGGTGAGATAAGTAGAAAACTTTACCTTCCTCTTCGGCTTTAAGAGCATGCTTTTCAGGTGGAGCATTCAGCCGACCATAAGTATTAACGCGTTCTTCAAGGGAAAGGCAATAAGCTTTATCTGCCTCTTTCCAAGATTGGTCCCACCACTTTAATCGCTGGTTGGGAACTTTCAACTCATACTTGGACTTCAAACCCTAAACCATAGCAAAACTACCCAAAACATACTGGCCAAGCTTTGCAGAGATCTTGTAGTTGGGATTCGAGTTTTTTTCTGGTTTTAAAATGAATGAGATTAAAACTCGAAACCCAGGCACGCTCGACAACTGGCCCAAAAAACTGAACATGATACTTTGGACATGATTTTAGCATCCTATAAAAACCTTCGCCATTTGGGCTATTATAGATCATACAGGGCCACCAAGGATGAGACCCAACTTTGGCCCAGTACATGGAGCCTGGCGGATTCTTCTCGGGATCATCAATTTCCATTTCTGACCTGACTTTACATTTTGAGGACACTTTCGACATGAACCAATGAATTTGTAGTATCTTTAAAGTAGTGGCATGAGAAATTCCGTCAATTACACAAGCTGTTGTGAATATTTTGACAGCAAATCGTTATTTAAAAAATATGCCAAAGTGGTGCAAATTGGAAATTTTTTTCAGATTAAGTAAGATTGCACATGGTCTAAAAACTCCTCTGAAGGGAAAAATTTATAAGTAACGGGTAACGCATTCACAATATTTTTTAATATTTTTTTGATTTATCATTCTGTCTATGCACTTGATATCGCCTTAATTAAGAACGTAAAGGATAAGTAAAGTATCATCAATCCATTTTCTTAAGTCCATGTGTATCGCTGCTATTTATATCAATTCGAAACATTTTACACCGATTCATTGTTGTAGTTGACTAAATAGCTAGACGAATGTGTAATATAACTCAAACAGGTTGGACTTGGAGTTGTTTTGTCAGCTTCTGATGTGACTGCATAGGTGGTAATCCCCAGTCTTTCGTTATGCGTAGTGCCATATTTGGTCTTTTACTAACTAGAAGCGGTGACTAAAATTACTTGGCAGTGATGTAAGATTTTGCTTTATGTTTTTACATTAAGCAACCGAAAAGTTAATTTAGGGCCAAATAAACTAATTTAGATTTTTTTAAAAGATTCAAAACTGTGACTTTTCATGAAACTGGCTTCAGTAAAACAAATTTAGTCACTGTAGGTATATGCATGTTAATTGCAACTACAAATGCTCACATCTAAATGGAATACTAAATTTGCCACTGACTTTGTCCTATATTGTGGGCAAGGAGATAGTTGCCGTAATTTGCCTTTAAGATAATTCGCTAATATTTGCGTACGCGATTTCGATTTATGTGATTTTTATTAACAACTCCGGGGTCTGATACATTTTTCAAGAAAAATTGCATCCTATACAGAAATTCGAATGCACCAGTCACAAATGAACCTTGTAAACTCTCTGCTATCAAACCAAAAACTTTTACCACAATGTCGGGGCATAATAATTAGGATACAAATCAAAATTACATACACATAAATGTTGGGAATTATCTAACGGTTCAAGTGCAGTGCAAAGGTCTGATTTCCCGTACTATAGACTTTCATTACCTATGCTTTTTAGCCACACTTCAAATGCATCAAAATTTTGATATATTCTGAAACACGCTTGCTGAATCCACTAATTTTTCGCACTGTATTTAAAAAGGCTTTTAAACAACATAAGAAGAAATAGAACAAAGATTTGCGGCGTTCGTTATGCTATTTTCCGAAAGCAATATTTAGAATCGAAATTTGTTAATTACGACTATTTTGTGGTACACTTTTATCGTTGCCCGTTTACTCAACTGACTATCGTTATGTCTATTGTTGAAAAACCCTTAACAATTTATTGTCGTGGACAATTTTGTTTTTAATTCGTACGCGTTCCTTTAGTAGTATTCAAATTTAAGTTCTTAAAGCATATGTTTACATTCTGCCAAGACGGTAAGCGTGCCACTCATCTGCCTTGTCTAAGTCTGAGGAGCTAATGTGAATCTTGTCTCTGACGTTTGAAGCACCATAGACCTAATTGCTTAAAAATGTACTTACAGCGCCACCTTTGTGCAAATTATCATTTGCGCTTGATTTATGATTTATTGACGAGCTAAGAGCGTTAGTTAATGGCTGACTTGATGGACGGACAGTCAAAAATAAAAAGGAATTTAAAATTATTGAACAGATATTTCTATTCCAATTTTTCACAGTTATTGATTGAAGAATATATGATATGAAAATATTGAGCAAAAAATAAGGCAAGTTATTGACGTTTAGTTCTCAAAATCAGAAGTAAAACAGCGTTTTAAATGTATGCTGAAGATTTAAACTTGGTGGCCCGATACCATAGTAATTAGAGAAAACAATCGAATTTATTTCCCAGTATTTTCCTGTTGGCAGAAGGCATAATCTGCAAATCGAAGGGAGAGAATTTCCTCAATGAAAATTTAAAAGAATTTAAGTACTTAAGTTACCTGATATCTTGACTCAAATTGTCCGTAAAATCTTCGAATAGTACGCTGAACATGTTGTTTCCTAACACGGGTAACAACGCTGATATCCTCAGAGACTGGTTCTAATAAAGGCATTGACTTAAAATTTTGTAGAATGTCTTGATTTCGCCTTTGCATAATTTTACATGACCTTGGTTTGTCAAGCAATGTACTGCATAAAGTTTTAACTTTACGAACCATGGTCATAACAAGTATTAGTTTATCCCTAATATCGGTGCTTGGAGGCACTGTATTAGCTAGAATTTAACCAACATTGGTTTTGCTACTACCTAACGACACCCCCAATGTTCACGTCGGACCGTTACCATGAAAATTGGCCAGTGACACACAAGCAAAAGCCAATTTTTAGTTATTGATCTTTAAAAGATTCAAAAGAATTCAGCACCCAGTTTACGTTTCATCGATGAATAAAAGGCGTATCTTGTATTCCGGTCAATAATACATCAATAATAACACTTACTTATATTTTAAATATCCAGATTTAAAACAGTTCTTCTTCTATAATTCTGTAATCTCAAAATGAAAATGACATCGTTATTTTTTGTGTAAATACACGCTGTTCATACCTCATTTTACTTTTTCTCTCTTTCAGTTAGACCGTCAGTTTATATTAGTATGTTATTTGCATTGTGTGAGAATTTATAACGTAGCTAATAACAACTTCAGTTTATTATTATTTTTTTATTGTGCCCTCCTTTGCTATTGCAAAAAAACCATGCATAAACAGTATCATTTGACCACATAAATCAAAATATTTTGTTTTAAAAGTAATAGAGCAACAATGTACACATTTATTACAAAAACAACGAACTGATTTTTTTTATTAAATATATTTGAATAAGCTAAGTATAACTGTGGGAGGTGAGTTCTTGATTGTCACTCAATCAAATTCCATTTGTTCCCGCTTTTCTGCCTCGGTGTGTCAAAGTTGTTGTGTTCTGTGATTTTTTTGCATTTAATTTATTGGTATTTGTTCTAGTCATTTAAATCTGGGAGTCTGTATTATTTTATAAGTTTCTTCGAGTATTTCTAATGGAAGTAATTCAAATAATCTTCTGCACCTATGCATTTTTGATTTTGTGTGTATTTTATTTTGTCTCAGGTCATTAGTAGAAACTACATTTAATTGTAATTACTAAACCAAGCTGTTTTTACTAGTAGAAATGCCTGGGATGTTTGATGTTAACGTTGGTGATAATTTCTACATTCGTCGATCCGACGGCCAGACATGTAAGCGCACTTTTTTGTCTATCGTTTCTTAGATCCTGCGTGTGTGGTTGAAACTCGTCTTACAGATTTCCTCCAAGTAGAGTACTTTGTTCATTATTTAGGATGTAAGCCAGTGAACCTATAAACTATTTGACCATAGTTGATCGTCGACTTGATGAGTGGGTTACACTCGACAGGATCAACATAAGTTCGAAATTTAATAGCTCTGCAACCCCAACTGACGTTTTGGGCGTACCAGGCCCGAGTGACAGACGTCTCACTCGCCACCAAAAACGTCGATATGAGGAAATATATAGTTCACCATCGGTTAGTTTCCTGTTTATATTGTCTTGATCTACGTAGTATGAGGCCTTTATTTTGGACGATTGATTCTAGAAATTATTTACTAACTAGGTTCTATCGTTTCGGATAATTAAAAAAGTGTTTGTCATTTTTGTTCATAAACGCCTATCGCTTTCCTGATAGGTTGTGAATTCGATTCCTGTTTGCGGCATCATATGCCTAATGCCGTAGCATTATTTTGGCTTTAATCTATTTTGAATTGTACCATGGGTCTTTGATTAATCCATGTATCTCTTCATAGGAACCTGATTCAACAGATATCATTTCACAGCGTCTGGAACGTGAGCACCAGGAGTTTACCCGTGTCAAATTTATTGACCTAATTCGGTTTGGAAAGTACGAGATCGGAACTTGGTATTTCTCTCCCTATCCTGAAGAGTACAGACGAAAGCAATACTTGTGGATTTGTGAGTACTGCCTTAAGTATATGAAAATGGAAAGGACATGGCTGCGCCACATGCTCAAAGACTGTAGACAGCGTCAACCCCCTGGTCGTGAGGTCTATCGTAAAGAGTCCATCCGGGTGTATGAAATCAATGGATCTACGCAGAAAGTGAGGATTTGTTTTTTGGTTTTCGTAACAGTTGCTTTTAGCTCTACTGTCAAAACCTATGCCTTCTGGCCAAGTTATTTCTGGATCACAAAACTCTTTACTACGACGTTGCGCCTTTCGTATTTTATGTTCTTTGTGAGTCTGACCCTTCTGGTTGCCATATCGTGGGTTATTTTTCCAAGGAACGCGTCTCAGCTGATAAAAACAACCTTGCTTGTATCCTCGTTCTTCCTCCATTTCAACGAAAGGGTTATGGGAAATTTTTGATCAGTCTCAGTAAGTGTAGTTTTTTCACGAGTGCAAATTTATGTAGCTGAATTTAACGCCACGTTTTCCTCTTTTCTTAAAGGCTACGAATTAGCAAAGATTGAAGGCCTCGTTGGATCACCTGAAAAGCCACTTTCAGATCTTGGACGACTCAGTTACAGGAGTTATTGGGAAGGTGTCATTTTCAAATATCTTCTTGATTTTACCAACAAATCTATTGAAGAAATCAGGTAGCGTTTTCCTTTCTTACGAGTCAATTTTGTCAACTGCTGGGTCAGTCTAATGTTTATGTTCGTTGTTTTGATGTAGTCAGCATTTATACTTCCTAATTTTGTGCCATTTAGCTCAGCGACCTGCATCGCCCCAGAGGACGTAATTTGGACTTTAGAGTCACACCCAACAATCAAGTACTGGCGCCACGGCCGGCACATAGAAATAAGTCACCGCGCACTGAAAGAGTATGTATCGCAGATGGCGCAGCGAGACAAGGCCCGAATGTCGGCAGGCCGAGGTGCAGGTGCCCCATTAGTGGAATTGGATGTCTCGTGCCTCACCTGGTCGCCTCCCGCTTGAGTACAGCAAGCGGTCAGAAACGGGGATAATTCAATGATCTTATTTATGACTTTGATTCTTTTTGTATATAATCATTTTATCCTCCTGATATATTCTTGTAATATATACGTGTATTTGGACGCTGTGTGACTGTCCGCGGCAGTAATCCCGCAGTATCTGTAATGCTCATCCAGAAACCTCGTCACTTGCCCCTAGCTTTTAACACTTTTCCTTAATATATGTGATGACGCTAGATGAATTCTTTTCTGTGGGATAACTCGTAAAGGCGTAACCCTGTTTAGCACAGGGATTTGTCCCTTTGCCAGACTACTGTAACATTTTATGTACACTCATATTCCTGTCACAAACGATCTCACGTAGTGCGTCAACTTGCAGCCTACAATTTGCATGCAAGTGTCACCGTGATTTCCAGGCTACTTCCCTTTTTTCGTAGAAAACCAGTACGAGATCTTAATTTACTTAGTTTACGATCTGTAATAAGTTTGTTATCAGCCCAAGTTTACATTCCAGCTGAAATGCCCGCTTGCCCATAATGCAATAATTGCCTAACTATGTTCGGGTTGTATTGATTTAAGTTTAGTTTTATTGATTTGCTCACAGGCACATGTCTCGGAGAGCACCGAGCATACTAATCATAGTTTTGCTTCTAAATGTGTGCATCTTAGCTGTGTTTGGTTCAATATATGATATAGAACAGGGGTTATACCCCTTGAATATCTGGTGGCAGTGCCAGGGGGTACCTAATCTTCAAACCCAGAAAGTTAAGTATTTGGAAGATGCTGCGAAGGCGTACTATATGTCCAAGCTGGCAGGTCGCGCTGTCGTCGACCGTGAGCTTGCCGACCATGTGCCACCAGCTTCTATTCTCTCCAATGAACGCTACATGAAGATGCTTTTGGAAGTTGTCAAGGTGCCACAGGACGCAATTGGCAGCCAACTGATGATGCGCCTCAACTGTGAACTATTTAACGATCTTGACTGGGTGAGGGATGTCTATGACACGGATCTTTCTCGCAACACCAATGGAGTGCGTGGTATTCTCGATGTAATTTATCGGTGCGTTTTGGGGTAATTTTTATCTATTGCTTGGCTTGACAGACCCACTTAACTAGTTTAGCCGCATCAAAAGTTGCCGCGAGCCCTAGGCTGCTTTCTCACGAACGACTATGTACTGTCCCTACCTCCTTTTTCTGATGGAGTTGAAATTACCTAGTGGTAGAGAGAAGTTGTTGGCTGAACCATTGTCTAAGAGTGAGGATATTGTAATGTCATAAGGCAGTCGAAACATTGTTAAAACGCTGCAACATTAAAGTCGTTGGATGTAAGAACCAGTATAAGAGCGTCTCTGACACTTAAACAACATTTGATTGGTTAAGATGATTAGGCTTTTTTTGTATTTGTAAATGTTCAGCTTAATCACTCTTAAATAGGATGCTACTCTAACCACGCGTATTCAAGGCCGCAGTAATTCAACCATGACATGACTTTGCCTTACCAACGTGTGGACATAATGACGCTACCTGCCAGTAGATTCCTATGTCTTATTACGGGGATCTATCATTTTGAGAAAAACGCAAACTGGTTTTGCGGAACCAGTCCTTATTTTGGCCTTGTGCACATTTTTGTTGGCGTTTGCGCATTCCATGACGTCATTTGACGGCTCGTCAGAGGGTGCTTTTTGCTTCTCGGTCACTAGTTAAAAATGGGCGAAAATGCCGCGTAATATCGATCATCGCCCTCCTGTAATACCTAGGCCTCACAAATAGGCTTTCATCTACCACTCAGATTGGGCCTCTGCGTCCGTGGAATTGACAAACACCTCAACTGTCCAAATGTTTGCCGCGTGAAAGGACCCAACTTCTGTAGGAAAGCGCCATATTCAATTGGTGTCTGTGGCACGTACGTGCCCGAAGAGCTAAAGCTTTACTCGCCTGACAAGGAACCGGAGACCGCAGGTGACCTATCGGAGGCCTTCAAGCGTTGGCACGCGATGATTCCTCGGGAGAATCGGCTGCCACTCTCGTTTTTCAAGCACTTTGCACACAAAAACCAGCTCTTTGTCAATGCATACGAAGCGCAACTGGCTTCTGCCAAGGTCCCCTTCTGCATTTGCGAGCCATTTTACACGGTTAGGATGTTGAAATCACCTTCGTATAAATGCTCATTAAAACAAATCAGACGTATATCGCGAGATTTTAAACATTGCATTGTGATGTATTTCAGTAGTGATATGAATTGTCATCACTCTCAGCAACCTAAATTATGGTTATAGTCTCCATTGCATGAGGTTTAGCTGGAGAACGTGGACAATTACAACTTTCAGTGAGGTCAATGTTGTTTAACTTCGAAAATGTGCTAAGGCACTGACAGGATTAAGCTCTTATTAGACGCCCAATCTTGCTTCCCTAGATCACGTGGTCAGACACTAGTTAGCTTTACAGTTTCAAGTAAACAAAGTGTGTCTGGCCACCGGTGACTGTGTGATGTTGAGAGTGGTGGTCGCAATCCATCGGTTTGGAAGGATGCACTTTCAAAGGCGGACTAGGGTGCTGGAAAACTGCAGGATAATCGAATCAGCCATCCATGCAGGCATAGTTTTTTTCGGGCTTACCTTTGGGGTCAAAATAAGCTAAACTATTGCTGTAGTGGGTTTGTTGCAGTTCTGCGTGGAGAACGTACTAACATAAAAAATCGCCAAATGTGGTTTAATTTGGCCTCACACTTACCAGTCGGTGGCACTTTTGTCTTCAACTGTGACGATTAAGCCATACACTTACCATTTCTTCGGCAGCATGACCGAGTACAGGACACTTGCGTCGAAGACATGGCAGACTTTGCCTGCGGTGGTGGGAATCCCTGTATGAACGGGGGCGAGTGTCAGAAGGCTCTAAACACCGGATCAGACGAGGACGGCGACGCTGAGGAGGAGGAGGAGGATGATAGTGTTCAAAAGGTCTTCATCTGCAAGTGCTTGCCAGCTTTTCGAGGGGATCTGTGTGAGTACGATGTCGATCCATGTGCTCTGGGAGTCGGCGTTAAGGCCTGCAAGCCCTACAAGTGTGTGCGCGCCCCTGAGGATCCCTACAATGGATTCAGGTGGGTATCGGGCAAGCTCTTGTCTGGTGTTATACTTACGGGACACTTCCGTGCCGTGTGATTTGTAGGCATTCCCATGGGCTTAACGTCAATTTAAAATGCGTCAATGTACCCTAAAACAGTGTTATTTGGTGGCATTTCGATTCACACAAATCATTTTAATAACATGGCCTTGTTGCTACTCAAATGCTCAAAACGAATTCTCCCTAAGAACTAGGCAAAATCAAAAGTGTACAATCTAGCTTTTGTGGAGATCTCACTTTAGGCGACTGATCACACAGCTTATGCAATTAACTCTTCCCACTATTTTCTCAGAGTTTTTGCCCTTTACAATACTAAGTTTGTTTACGGTCAGTATGGCTAATTCCACGTCAAGTGACGATTCAGTTATTTATCTGATATTCGCTTATACAATGTACGACACGTTTGCGTTTGAGAGGAACAAATTGAAGCACTTTGGTGTAATTAGAGTTCCTGTAGTCGTTAATGTACTTTTGACCACGAAATGACTTGACTTCGTGCTTGTGCAGTTTTTAAAAGTAATCAATTTACATACTTGTTGGTCCAGTTGTGCGAAAGCCTGCAAATCCAAATACATTTTAAATCAAGTTGAATTAATTTTACTCATGGGATGGATTAGCCAGCATGATGTGATAGCGACGTATTGTTATACCGGAGGGTTGTGGAGGGATTTCCTTAGCATATAGGTACAGCGTGTGGCAAAGGCGCGCTTTGAATGGGACACGCCAACACGCCACTGTAGGCTGAGGGTGGCCTGGGCATTGACCGCGCTGTTGACGCATCAAATCCTTCAATAGGGCATTGACTTGTGAATTCTGGGTTGATGCAACCCCTCATGACATAACAGTTAGGCGATCGCTTATAAAACCCAAAATAGCCCATACTATTCAAAATCCATTCGCTGCGCCCTCCTGTAATGAAGGTTTCGTAAGGCTATACAAATGTTCATTACTGTCTTATGTCCAATTTTTACTTATAAAGATGTGAGTGCCCATTGAGGACACACAAGCCAGGTGGTCCCACGGAGCCCAGCTGCGTTCCGATTCCAGCCTGCAAAAGTGGCGACCTACGGAATGGCCCGTGTCTCTCTGGTGGGAGGTGCGAGCAGTTGGCGACAGGAGATCCGTTGGATTACAAGTGTCACTGCCCACCGGGCTATTCCGGCAAGAACTGCGAAGATCCTCCACCAGAACCATATTGGTCCACTTGGAGTTCCTGGAGCAGTTGCAAGTGGCCAGCGCCTGCTGAGGCCTGCTTCAAACACGCCTATCAGGAGTGTACCCGAGAGTGCAACGTCCATGCACCCGGCCAGATCTGCCAGGGACCTAGCAGACGGATCCGGTACCGCGTATGTGATTTGAACTCGGTAAGCGCCGCTTTTTCTGCTGCAGTTAAAAAGCTCGCAGTTGGGTCTCGGCAGCACTGTTGTCTTTTGGTCTTTGGTTGGATGGTTGCCGTAACTATCGTCGTTTTCGTTAGTAATGCACGGATGTGGCCCGGGTTACTACAGATGCGGCGTTGGCTGCTGCGGCAGGTGTGCATTCCATGCTAGCGAGGTTGTGGCGTGGCCTGTAAGCTGTGTCTGTGGTGAAAGTCGCAGGTGTGAGCGAGTGTCGGGCGACGCCCTATGGTAGTGGGGCTTGTCGGTCTGTTTGCATGCCTTTGGATGCCATTAAAAGGTGTCTGTGAGCGGATGGTACGTTTACTTGGAACAAATTTAAGTGCTCAAATCTTGCCGATGTTGTCTGAGAAGTTTTGCATGGAATAGGACTTCGGTTCTATTTTGTCAATGCGTTGTCCACCCCCACAAACAACAAGGGCTTTTCCCACGTCCAAATATAACACAAAGACAGACGAAAACTAAACCGAGACAATGAAAATATATTTGTCATAAACTTGCGAACCGTCTCGGCGGCATTGAGTTAACCGAAAAGCAGGTATAGGGACTAAGTGAATATACACGACGCGGTAGCAGCAATCTTCGGCTCTTTCCCAATATCTACGGGTATCCAGTGATTTGTGTGAACCAAATCACCTCTCGAAACAGTTCAGAAAGTCATAGTTACAAGGGCGAAGTCGTCAACGTGAGGAAGTGAATATCGATCTGTGACTGTAACACTGTCGAGGGCTTGGAAGTCACCTCAGAGCTGCCTGTCTTCAGACATTTGCGTGCCAAAGGCAACGGAGTCGTCTAGGACGAATTAAGCTGGAGCAGTGCGTGGGCTGCTCCGGGTTTGCGAAGCGCAAGACGTCTGCATTTGGTGTTATTTGGTAGCCTCTCTTCGCGAAGAGGTTTGTGATGTGATAAATGGGTTCGGTAGGCGTTTTGGCCTTTCAAATAATCTCTGGTAACCCAACCACGAGGAATTCAAATGTTTGAGCTTGGGTAGGTCATGTGGAGTTACTGGATTCTGCAATCCCTGGAACTAAAAATTATGTATTGTGTCTCTGAATTTGTCGTGGTAGACATCGAATAGGAACCTGAAGTGTAGAATGAAATTGAAAGCAATAATTAGCCTCTGACCCCTATCTTGCTTAAAAGCAAGTGGTAAACTGTGGACATTCGTCGTGAAGTAATATTTGTTGCTACTTAGAGTGATTGGTAGATGCTTGATCGGAACAATTAGATAATTCCATGTCATAAAGAAACTATTAAATGACTACCTCTTAAATTATGTATAACTTAATCTAAAACAACTGCAAGTTGATTCAATATTCCTTTCGATAAAGCTTCAATCCTGTCTTCCTAGTCGTGATGAGGCAAGCAACGACGGTAGTTCAATCTCTTAAGAGGATAATTTTGAATAAGTGGTCAGAAGTAAAATCGATAGAAATAGCCACTTTACTTTCTAAAATGCAAATTACATCGTGCCACGTGAGCATTCAAGAGCATTATCACGTATTGACAGGTAAATGTAGGACGTCTTGTTGTTTAAATCATTACTTTTTGTACGCATTATAGCATGGATTTAATGGTAAGTTTTGCCAAATAGGATGATGAAGCAGTGGTTACTTCTCTGAGCGATCGTCAAAAGCAGGAGCTCCAAACGGCATTCTCGTTGTGCAGCCTGAGTTCAGAGGCGGCGTCTCCAAACTCGGGCGAGCCACTTGCTGAATCCAAACTCTTCGAGCCGATGAAGGACCCGGGTTCACTGGACGACTGGTCGAAGGTGAGTCCGGAAGAGGCTACTTACACCCTCCTGCCGAAGGCCTTTCGCCTCCTTGACTCGGCAGCTCTTCTCGCTGTCAGCTGGCCCGAACTCCCCGACTTAGCCTACTTCACCGCCTGGCTGTACGCCTTCATACTCCTCTTAGCCTTTATCATTGTGTGGATACATCAAATGCGAACGTGGATCCTACGACACTACGGCATTGAAATCGACACGTGATTTTGCTTCTTCCTTCAAATACATCCGCGTGATTATTGTGTTTATTCTCTTTAACAATTTGTGGGCAGAAAGTGCTCGATCATGGTAGCTACTCAAATGAGGCTAGAGATAATATTTATCCATTTGTGCCTAGTATGTGTGACTGGTCGCAATAATTTTAATGTCTCCTGACTAGTGGATGCCCTCCAGTAATGAGACCATACATTGACTACAACGTCACATGATGTCTGGGAGGCGTATTGGTGCTTCATTATACGTGATCGAAGCTTCTTTTCAAAATTATCCAATAAGACATGTCCCAACAAATGATAAAATTTAAAGATAGAGGCCTACTCACAGTTTAAATAAATGACTCCGGACTGGTACGCCGATACCAGGCTTCGAAATAGCTCGTCAAATCACGACTCACATCACGCATCGATTCACCCCCGTCTGGGAGGCACACCGACGTCGCTTTGGCTACCATGCGTTCTCTGTCTTTGTCCCAAGTTCCACGCGCGTGTCTGCACAACTATTCTCAATTTAAAACATTTACATCTTCCTGACTCGGAGGTTGGCGCGTCCCCATTCAATCGAATACCGGAATTAGATTAAGCGCAACTCTTGAGTGTTCATTCATCTACTGAAAGTGTGACGGTTTCATGTAGTTCGACTCGAATAAAACCTTACCGACATGCGTTACAGAACCACATTGTCCCTGGCATTGCATTGATACACTCCTCCCATGCATGTTTTCGTGGTGTTACATGCAATGTCCATCTGGACGTGCAGCCTCTCTGTCACCTTTATTCTCGAGTGCTTCGAATTGTTGTTTGAAACGGCACTAGCTTGACCAAGTAGAGTACTTCAGTCTGCTCTAATCAGGAATGCCAAAAAATATTCGCCGAAATGGCAGTTTCTGTCGGTGAGGTTGGTGGGAGAGAGGCTCGCAGCCAAAGTTTTTGCAAATGCGAGGCCAGTTAAACCCAGCGTCGCTTCGATGTTAATGACAAATGACAATCTATTGTTACAGCAGAACCAGCACACAACCAGTCTGGAATTAGCAAATGGCGCCCTCCTCAGGGGTAAGAATGACTCTCCGATGTGACTACTTTTATTTTTAGGGCTCTCAATGAAAACTGGGCTAAGTGAGTGCCGTTTCAAACAACGATTCGAAGCACTCGAGAACAAAGGTGACCGAGAGGCCGCACGTCCAGATGGACATTGCAGCTGATTCATCCACAAGACGTGATGCGTCATCGTGTCCCGTGTGTGTGTGTGTGTGTGTGTGTGTGCGTGTGTGTGTGTGTGTGTGTGTGTGTGCATGGGCGTATCCATAGCGGACGTGCCAATTAAGAGGGTAGGTGTGGTTCAAAGGGGGGCAGCTGATACAAATAACCTTTCGTTAAACCTTTCCGTCTAGTCGTGTCGCCTTTTACAACCTTCATTGCTCCCTGACACGAGAGGGAGACTACCGTTTTATTGGACAGCCCAACTACGTTGTCTTTTTCGGGTATTGACACCAAGAGACCTGTAGAACACCAGATTAACAATGATAGCCTTGAAGCATTTAGGCGAAGCTATATCCGTTCCGGATAGGAATAAAATTGTTCTGACCGTAATAGTAGAACATGGTTACGTTCTCCACAACGTCTTAAAAGGCCAAAAGTCTGAAATGGCAAATAAAGGTTCAGTGTTTTAATTAGGTTAAGTTCAGCAGAGCACTCATTTTACAATGCCCTCAACTAGCTTATCCCCCGAGCGTTCTTCAGTTGGGTTATGTTATGCTGCATCCGTTCACGGGATGGGTATAACCGCCAGTAATGTGTTATTAAATCTAGAATTATTTGGGCCAATTAGAGCTGTAGTTACATGAGGAAGTGTCTTATTTTACTCAGAAGTGCTACCTTTAAAGGAGATAGATGTGTAAAGTTCTACTTGAGGTTTTAACGACACTTGTCGGAGAGCCGTTGCTTCCAGAATACAGTGAATATTATACCTCGCTATCCCTTCAAATGACAACATCCGCAAACTGAAGGCGGGATCAGTGTTTAGGCGGCGCAATATAATGAGGTCACATGTGCTGGGTCAGATGTTTGTCTTAACGCCCCCACAACAGTTTACACTCGAATAGGGGCGGTTGCGTTGATCACTGGAATCGTCAGAACCGGACACACTCTTGATTCCTCTTGATGGTAACTTGTTAGTGACTTTAGATTACTGCAATAAAAGTATGTGGAGTTTTAGCCCCTTGAGGTTTACAAGCCATCAAATGGTCTTGGTTTAGGGTTTAATTAAGGGTATGCCATCAGGCTTAGTTCACAATCGGTGGCTCTAAAAGTGGTTTGAATCTCACGTCCGTCTTTAGTCAAACCTGATAAAACCTATCAATATTTTTCTGAATTTTATTGGTGTTTTAAAGACAGCAATTAACAAACACGTACACACGTAACGTTTGTGCAAAAATAATCGCATCATAAAGTCGTTCTTACCGCGGTATGACCAACTGAGGATGGCGCCATTTGCTAATTACAGACTGATTGTGTGCGGCGGTTGCTGTAACAATAGATTGCTGGGTTTAACTGGCCTCGCATACGCAACAACTTTGGCTGCAAGCCTCTCTCCCACCAACCTCACCGACAGAAGCTGCTATTTCGGCGAATATTTTTTGGCATTCCTGATTAGAGCAGACTGAAGTACTCCCTTGCATTCAATTTAGAGCATGTAACACCACGAAAACATGCATGGGAGGAGTGTATCAATGCAATGCCAGGGACCATGTAAGCCAGTTTGAAGCCTGGTATCAAGGTACCAGTTCGAGGTCATTTATTTCAACTGTGAATGGGCTTCAATCTTCTAATTTTATTATTATTTGTTGGGATCTGTCTCAGTGGATAAGAGTTATTTTGAAAAGAAGCTTCGATCACAGGTACGGAAACACTTACTCACCGTTCAGGACGGTAGGATTCTCTCTATCCGAAATTCTAATAGTTAATTAGATTTAGCTTAAGCAGCTTCAGTTAGCCCAAGAACATGAATCTGGAGACTTAGGACACTTAAATAATTTTAGGAAGCCATCATATCTAAGTGCACATTAATCGCATGCCACTCATTTATTTTTTTTAGATAAATTCCGCATATCTCTGCACTATACACTGCTTCTACCGTATTTCAGCCTTCTATTTATCCGTCTATTGTTCTAGATTTCCATCATATTCGAGTTTAAATTGTCCATATTTTTGGGAGAATAACTAATCTTTCTTTGCCGGTAATATTCGTTGTGGAACGATAAGGGAGCAGTGGTTAAATCTAGTGGGCTCATCTATACTCTCGCACAGAGGTAGTTTAGTTAAACAAATTTGTCTTGGTTAATGCGTTGTGACTTTTGGAAAGAGATTTTTACATAGGAAATTTAGCTTTTATATTATGACATGGAATAATAGTTCTTAACAATTACGTTATCCTTAGCGGAGTTTCGATGGAGTCATTTAATTTGTGCAAAACGATTCTCACTAAATTTAATTACAACTTTTGAAGTGAAGTATTCAAAGAAATGGTTTGGTACGCTGGAACACATTCAACAGTCTGGAATTAAATGAAAATTTTGAGTTAACACATCAAAAACTCCTGAAACATGAATCCGAGCAGCTGGTCATAAATAAACTGTTTCGACCGGCAGATTTGCATCGGTAACACTAAATCAAACAATCGCAGACGGTAAGTTCTCACAACCAGTCTAGCATGTATTTTACGGCATTATTCCATAGGTACTTCCAGGTGAACATTAATAGCAAGATTGCCAAGTTTTCCACAGCTTTGAAAATCTTAAATGTTACAGCCATTGAAGACGGGACCTACCTAGTCCCTGTTACCCCTAACTTTCCCCTTAATACCGATTATGCAGGCTGCAAATATGAAAGGCGGTTTGCCGTGAGTTTGGATATACATTTGGTGAATAAACATCACGTTTTACGTTCAATCAACGTGAATACAATATACTGTAAAGTGGATATTAAGTACATTTACATATTAATCCATCATAATCGAACATGTATCCCTTATAGTGCCGAAAAACGTTAAAATTTGTATGGACAACCTAGTATTCTGGATTCCTACCATTTTTTTCAGCGTGATGCACCGTTACACGTTGTCGCTTGCGACTGGCTCTATTCGAAAAAGAGCTACGGTAGCCTGATATCCCCAGTCTTAAACTTCCGTGAATACTAGTAAATTTTTGTTTCAAAATTACACAAGTAAAATTTACACGTAATTTCGATTTATGATTATCGACAAATTTCCAGCCTGTCTCTTTGTTTGCTTGCAAAAGACTAATAAACATGTGTTCTGTCATCTCAGTGGCTGCAATCACCCTTTAAAATAGTGCAATTAAAATTGCATATACAACTTCTTGAACACCATTATCTATTTGTTCAATATTATAAACAACTGGTCCTTCTACCAACATCATAGAGGTTGTCACTGATAACCAACTACGTTGAATCCATCGACAAGAAACACGGCTATAGAGGTTTCTGTATGTTCAAGGTTAGCGACTGCCCAATCTGCTTACCTCATTTTAGATTAAATAAATTAGTTGATAAAAGGTGGTTGGTATTGCCCATAACTACCAGTCAATGCTACAACCAGTCGATTGACTAAAGAAAGTGGAGCAGTCCAGACGATTTTACAACAGGTGCATTTGTCCGATTTGTACAATTATTACTACAATGAGTGTCGTTAAATTTAAATCAATACACAGGAAAGCACCTTTGCAAGACAATGTTCCTTACATACTTGCTAAAAAGACGATAAAAGTACACCGGTCCTCTAAGTGGTCACATTAATTTGAGGAGCGAAGACTAGAAAATTCGCCAATATTTGTTTCTCTTGAGCGAAGGGATCTTGAAATTTCAGAGCCAGAGGGCTTATCTAAAGAGAACACAATATCCAAAACATGTCAGGAAAAAGAATATTTGTCAAAGATGTAATTTTATTAAGGAAAGAGCTGTTACCCCCAGTCA